TTTTTTATCAAATATTTTGGGGTGAATAATGCAGAATAGGAAAGTTTTGATGAAAATAGAATCACGTGGCAACATTTTAAATAGGAAAATTATGTACAAACCTAATTCAGTTTATTTTAACATTGCGTCATTTTGAGATTTCGTCAAAAAAAGGACATTTAATTTTTGGTGAATAATTTCTCTTTAGCTTATATTCAAAAATTAATTCGTTTTTTCAAATTCTCATTTCCTCGATTAAATTGAGATGTTAAAAATGTCTTTAAATGTGGTTCAAGTCGCAATTTTGTGAGATTTCAAATTAGATGAATGAAATAGATCCTCGTAATTAGGTTTCAGCACAAATAAATACCATTTCCTGTCATGATAAAAAACAGACTGTTTCACTGCCAACGCATCCAGATCTCCAATTAATATTATACTTCCCTTAATTCAGGCATATCCTGCATTCTTTAATCAACACCCCCCAATAACACAGAAATGCTTGGGATGATTACTTTGTAAATGCTAAATGGGTGGCACCCCCTTTGGTGCCTATAGCAATTTTTACTTATACCTTTCTTTCGAAAAAAAAAAACAAAAATGCAAAGCAACAGAAACAAGAAACAGAAGGAAAAAGCATTTACAATGTTCATATTCATTCCATTCAAACAATAGTACAAATTACCCACTCGTGTTCACTGACCCCTTTTGCTGTTCAGGACTCCTCATTTCTTTGATTGCAAGCTGTCTTCCTCATGCCTCTTGATGTCCCCTTTCTTCTCTTTTCGTTTTCGCCTCTGTTTTTCTTTTTTTCTTTTGTTCTTTCTATCCACAGCTTTCCATTCCTCTTTTTCCTGCCCTTCTTGCCTCTCATCTTTAGTCTGTTTCTTTCTTTCGACATACAGCTCCCTCCCTCGACTTATTTGTGCTTCAAACCCGAAACTCCGGCCACCCTTTTTTAGCAGAAATTCTTAGCTTCTTCTCTTCATGCTGCAGCTCCCACTCATCTTTGTGTAATTCCTCATCATCTTCTGACACCTGAGGCCGGAAATATCGTCTCCAGCTGAGATCCTTGCACTGCATTCACACGGCCTTTTCTTCCCTGGCTTGCTCTCTCTCTATCTTCAGTCTTTCTCTTTCTCCCTCTGGTGCCGACAGCCTCCTATTTATGCTTTTTATGTTGGCGGCACTGAGATCCTATGTTCCCTTTTCTTCTTCCCGACACACACACACAGCCTTGCCCCCTCCTCTCTTCTGTGTTCTTCGAAGGAAGAAGAATGAAAACTTTAAAAGTCTCATGAACAATGTCGTTTCTGGGGAGGCTGTTTAGTGAGCCTGAATGGGCTGGGCCAGGGGGAAGAGAAAAGAAGATGAGTTGGGTTGTTAATTTTTGGGCTAATCGGGTTTGGGGCTCTTTTTGGGTATTGTTTTAAAAACATTGGACTTGATTTTGTTTAATTATTTGGCTGAAATTTAAAAGAGGACCAGGCTGGAATTTTGATTTAAGGTTTAATTTACACAAAGGCTGGGTTAGGTTCAATTTTTGGGTTGGGTATTTAAAAAAAAAAAAAAAAAGAGGGCTCTGGTCTTAAATTAAAAGACTTGTGCTGTTTGGATTTTAAATAAAAAATGTTAAAAATAAAAAGGGCTTGGAATTTCTTTGGGATTTAGAAGGGCTTCACTAAATGTTTAGACTTGAGGCTTCAAAATGGGAAATAGGCTCAGAAAATGAAAAATTAGGTCGGACAAAATTAGGGTACTACAGACTCAAGACGAGAAGCATTGTTGATAGGAGCAAAAGTAGGAAGAGTACCTTATGCTGGCTCAATGAATTTTATCAGGTTATTAGGTTGCCTTGTGGAGGGTTTGGAAGTTTATTCAAGTCATCTTTTCCTAGTTTTTAAGGATTTGTGCTCATTTGTAGCTCTTAATTGATAAGTCTGGAATCTGGGTCATTAGGAGACGTTGAAAAGGTTGTACAGTTTCGGGCAGCCCATTAGGTGGTAAAATGTGGACCAAAATTGATGTTAACCAATGGAAATCAAGAATTAAACTGGAAGTTTAGTACCTCTGGAAGAAATTCCAAAACTTTCAGTCTTTGCAACAAATCTTCTTAGATCAGCTCAAGATTTGGCTCGGCTAGGCTCAGTTCAGGTGGATTGGCTAGACTCGGATCAGGTAGCTCAGCTCGCAGGAGGCAGCGAATGCAGCTTACGCTTGACTTTCTTACAGTCTTCATGGACTGAGTTTCCCTTGAAAGATAGATTGGTGGCTCCTCTTCTCAGTTATGGAGTCAAACAATGTTGACGTGGTTGGAGCTTGTAATGACTTAACTATGGAAGTGCTTAGCGTTGTGGATGTGAGGGCTTCTTGCAACACCAGACAACGGCGCATTGGCAGAAGGCCTGTTGTAGTCTTCTGCTCCTTATTTGGTGGTGGCGGCGGCGGCTTAATAGTGTGCCTGTACTGACTTAAGCAGCTGCTATGGAAGTGCTTAGTGTTGAGGATGCAAGGGCTTCTTGCAACACCAGACAACAGCTTTGGCAGGAGGCGTGTTGTAGTCCCCTGCTCCTTATTTGGTGGTGGTGGCTTAATGGTGAGGGGAGGGGATGAAGTAATGGTTGCAACAATTAGCCACAAGATGTTTAGTAAAACTCCCAAAACATTCAATTTCCTTTATTGGTTATGTATCAGTTGTTTTAGATGATTCAGAACCACAAGATGGTGTCTCCTATTTTCGTTTGTTCAGCCCCCCAAGAAGTGGCATCAGATGCCCTCAATTCTATCTGCAACTTTCCTTTGTTTGTGGTTGGGG